CTGAATTTGCTGTAAAAATAGTAGAATTTATTAGATAACTTGTAATAATCTCAATTTTGACATATTGTTTTAAAAATTATTTCAAGTTTCTTACTTATTACAATTTAATTTGTAATATCAACTAAAATACCTAGTAAATTTGTTTTTGCTGGGATTTTATTTTTACAAATTCGGATCCAAATTGTAATTTTTATTATTTCCGCTTACGAAGCAATGGACTAGTAATTGTATCACTTCAATATTTAGGTAAATTTTCTCCGTGTAGTCACAAAATTCTTTTGGACAACTTCCCTATTAATAAGTTTGCAATTACGAAATAACTTGAATTAAAAATTTTAGTTGCTTAATAGCTCTAATTGCCCGAGATAAAAATGTTCAGTCTCTCAAAGTCTCTGAAAGCGAGACTGGAGTCTCCGTCTCTCATCGAGTCTCTCTGGTGTCGCTGAGAGAGACTATCGAGAGACTGTCAAAAAAACTGTTTAGCGTCTCTAAACGAGAGACTCGAGTCGCTCATAGAGAGATCCTCATTTCGTATCCAGTCTCTGAAAGAGAGACTCGAATCTCCGAACGAGACTCGAATCTCTGAATTAACAATTTTATCGTTCGAGTCTCTCATACATAGACTGAAAGACTCTGAGAGACTGGAGTCTAGGGTGGCATACGAATCAAATGTATATATTTTTATTTCTCCTAAAAATATGTCTGTATCTGGAATGTCCTACTTTCATTAACAACTACCAGTATTTCTTCCGTTTCAGTCTTACAACTATTAAATGAGATAATTTTTCATCCTCTTTTTGTCAAATAATAACTTGTAACATACAAATTTTGTTGTTTTATGGGGATAACATTCAGGCGCCTTTCCAACCCAAATAAAAAAACACTTAACTAAAACGGTGTTGTTGTATATATAATAATCATAAGAAAAAAGTCAAGCTTATTAAATACGGAAAACAAAAACACATTTCAACTCCTGCTGAGATTCTCTCTTTCTCTTTGGCCTCTTTCTAACGAACATCTCTTTTAAAAGAAAAAACACCACAATTGCCCCACCATTGAACAAACTACGGTATTTACATGACATCCATGAATTCCTATTTAGGTCAGGAGTACAATTTTGGCACATCCATAGTAATCTGATACCTACCATTCCGTTAGTAGGCCAATTAGAAATCATACAAACGGTAAGAATTAAGATTCATTTAGGATCGACTGATTAATCAAGTAAGTTAGGGTGGTGCAGCGACTAGCTATCTTCATTTAACTTAAATGTTATAAGTTCTTTACTGTTTTATATATTTTTCCCTAAGTATATAACAAGACATGCTGATGTTATTTACCCATTTATTGTTTAAACTGTTGTTGATGGTAAACGGGTTCGAGGTGGAAATTTTTCTACCCAAACATACAGTTATAGAATTGTTTTTCGTGTTTATAGACTTGCACAATTATTAATCTGGGGTATGTTCTCATGTAACGAACAGAATATAGTCTATAAAGATGAGATTGTGGCGCAATTGTGTTGTATCAAAATATAATATGTCGACATTGAAGTTGTTGTCCGAATAGAAGAAGAAGGAGTCGAGGAGGTAGAAGTGACCCCCTGCAGCATAGAACCCCCATGATCTTGGGTATCTGTTACTGTCGACGACCAAATGTATTATTAACTGTGAACATATCCTTTATTGCCGAGATTGATTTAGCTATTCGGCCAGGTATTAAGCACTAGTTATGCATACGCCTTCGAAATAAGAGACATGTTAAAACATGAACGAAACCATCCTGCACCGTCTTTTTTTTTCCTTTGAAATAATGTCTTAACTTTAATACCTCCCGTTTTTATTATCGATAACCGACAAACATCGGATGCCACGGCGATGCCTTAGACGAAAGATTCGGCGCCGTTATAAGCGACCGCAATATATCCTTTTATAATGGCCGAAATTAATGTTTTTTCTTTATGATTTCAAACCGATGTTGTACCTGTTTAGGAACATAAACGGACCTGGCAGGTTTAGACCGAAAACATCAAGAACCGTCACCACCTTTCGACCATTAATTAATTTGTGTATTAAAATATGTACGTGAATGAACAACGATAATGACATTAATTTCCCTGTTTGAAATGTACCGTTATTTGGTAACATTTTTGTATATAGAATTGCAATGAAATGTACTATTCAAAAAAGTTACTTTAGAAACCAAGTTGTTTTAAAGCAACTGTTGGACTGAAAGGACTTTTTCGGTGTGAAATACTGATCCTGCCATCTGTGAAATAGGAGCAGCTTTTGTATGCCACAAGCATGTCAGAGACGAGAGATGGTCGATTACTGTTTTGAAACATCACAGTGGAAAGCAAGTAGAGATTTTCTATTAAACATGAAAGCATTAAAGTACAGATGGCAGGATAAACAAGGGTTTCAATCAATTCAGGAAAAAAATATCATAAATGCATTTAATTAATTAGTAAAATCTTTCTGTTGAAAGCTCCTAGTTGCTGCAAGATTAAATTTCAATTATTATATGAGGAAAACTGAAGAATTTCGTACAGAAATAGAAAAGCAATATTATTTGCAAAAATAAATACCTAATAAAAAAAATATTTGGTAGGTTTTACTTTAGAATCCTTCCCAGAATTCGTTAAAGGACTATCAATTAATGAAATATAAAAAAGATTGAAAACTAAAACATTTACCTACATAATAGTCCTAAATATAAATAAGCCTTTTACTGTCCTGCAGTAACTTTTTAACAAGTGAATTACAGAGTTTTTAAATGTTAAATAAAAATTGACAAATTAAATGATTGGTATAGGTACATAGTGCCATATACTGTATTTTTAAAAAAGAAATCATTAGGGTACACATGTTTCGTTAATTCTTTACAACAACTAAACCGTAAGCATGAATCACGTTGGCTTCTGGATTATTACGTGTAAACCAGATAAAAAGGTTATTTTTGAATTAAGCCGTTAGTCTGCAAACCGCGATAAAGGCCGACCTCCCATATGTTTCATTCTCTTTTATAGTGAGTATATTAAAAGAACCGCGCTCACATTCTACACATAAATAATCCACCTATAGTGTAATTTGGTTCGACTGCAGGCAATTATGACTACCAGAAGGGTTAAATCACGACCATATAATAAAGATAGCGGCCTTATCTTTCCCGGTGCCAAAAGCTTTTAGGTTAAAAGGTGATCTGGTGCTAACTGCTTTAATTTTTCGCCTGTCGGACTACTAACGAGAACCAGCACAGAAGCTTTCGATATGATGGATCCGTTCGAGTCGATCCGTAAAATTCGGCATATTCAAATACAGCTAAGCAAACGTGTAGCCAATTTGTCAGATACTGTCTTTGGAATTGGAGTTAGCTTACATTTAAATTGTTACGGTACGAACTGTATACGTTTGTTTTTTATTGCATCCTAACTAGTATAGTACCATATTCAAATTAGCAACTACAAATAATTATTATACAAACCCCTAAAATACCATATACCGACTCGTTTGAGGGATGAAGAATTTAAAATTCGCAAGCATTTAATACATTTACAGATGCATTCCACTTTAATATTATAGGTCCTGTTATATACTTTACTAGCGACCCGTCCCGGCTTCGCACGGGTGCAATGTAGATACCAATGTAGGGAAGTGTAAAGTGATTAATAATATTATGATTATGATTAGTCTATACTACAGGATATCTTTATATACAATATTTACAGCTGCATTTTCATGAGACAGTACAAACATGTTTTCTTTAGATGTTCTCTCGAAAGTGCGACTAATGGTTAGCTACTGTGGGTTATCCTTAGGAAATCAACATAAACCATCGCGGACTTTTTTATCGATCTTTTTAAGATATACAAATCCGTGTTACATTAATTTCATCTATCTCTATTTAGCCAGATTGCAATATGTTTGTTACGACATCACATTACAAATCATTGAATTTATTGGTTTTTCTGTACTGTAATATGTATGTATTGTACATATAAACCTTCCCCTTGAATCACTCTATCTTTTGCTGAAAACTGGGGTAAAATCCGTGGCGTAGATCTAAGAGTACAGACAGCGGAAGCGACATTGTTTTATACTTTATGTTAAGGTAGTATAGCCATATTAGAAAACGCCGGATTTTCAGATTGGCTGCAAGATACCTATATGTGTATGTAAGTTTGTTTTTCTTTTTTTATGAATATAAATCACGATCCTATTACCGTTCATAAAAAATTTGAATCATCAAAACGTCGGTATAATTTAAAATAAAAAGCACCTACAATTTCGCGCTATCGATAAAAAAGTTGTTTATGTTTGGCAGTATGTACATATAAACATAAAGCTTAAAAAGCTCTCGTTTTGATATTCCAAAATGAGAAACTGTACAGCGTTTTTCTATTTATGATTAATCAATGAGTGATGAAAAAGAACACCCTGTGAATTTAAGTTTAAGTTTTGGTACGTAAAGGTGATAAGCTATCTATACACAAACATTTCGTAATTGCCAATTTTTAATTAGTTGTTGCCTTGTGGAAAACTATAAATTTACATGAGCTGCCTCAAAAAGAATTAGACAACCAATAGGAAAACTTTTGGAAAATTTGTTTTTCTTCATTTACTTTATTTTGGGTAAATAAGAAAAGCAAAGACACAGTTACTTCAACTGTAGATTTATTTATTCGCCTATCAAACCTAAGATGGGAAAATTATTGTTTTATTTTATATTTATTATTATTATTAAGTTCGTGAGAGATCCATTAAAATCGAAAACTGTTCGATATCATTTGGCAACGAAAACAAGAAAGACCATTTTTTAGGATCCAATATTTTATTTTTATCCTACTTTAAAAAAAATGCACTTACTCTAAAAATATAACTTATTTACAGTAACATCCATTTCTTTTTAACGAATAAAATATTAAT